ATGCGCAGGGCCTTTTTACGCATGTGCAGTTCGTCAAAAATGGGATGTGATGACATCCAGGCGGGTGGCCGCTACCAGTTTGCCCGAGCCAGATAGAATCAGCTGAATACCACCACTGGAATTCTGAAGAGAAGTTTAAGATGCTTTCCCAAATGTGGGAATTCAAACCTTAAGATTTCAGGAGCCTTCCATATACAGGTAGTCCTTGAGTTACGATCATAATTGAGCTCCAAATTTATGCTGCTAAGTGAAACATTTGTTAGGAGAGTTTTGTCCCCATTTTACGACTTTACTTGCCACCGTTGTTCAGTGAATCGTTGCGTTTGCTAAGTTAATCAGATGGTTGTTAAGGGAATCTGGATTCCCTGTTGACTTTGCTCGTCAGAAGGTAGCAGAAGCTGATCACATGACTCCAGGACACTGCAACCGTCATAAATATGAACTGGCTGCCAAGCATCTGGATTTTGATCATGTGACCATGGGGATGCTACAACGGTTGTCTGTGTGAAATTCCTTTCCTTGATGTATCCACAGTTTCTCTAACATTGCCCGTAATTTGGAGAACAATCTCATTTAAAATACATCCCACTGTATTTTAAATATCTTCCACACAGCCACATTTACGTATCCTGGTTGTACAACTTACCTGTGTGATTTGGCACATTTTCCAGGTGCTCTAAGATATATTGATAACATTTCTATTTATTTGCTCCAATAAATATTCTGTGAGGCATATTGGTAACAATAGTGATCTTTGAGTCATGTAAATAATTACTTTCAGTTTTTGCTTAGCGTCATCTCCTAATAGAACTTGGCTGAACCATGGTGGCTTATGTGGTTAGGACACCAGGTTGGAGGTTAGCAAGCCTGCGTTCGAGACCTGAGTGCAGCTACATGATGGAGTGAGTTCCCGTCATTCGCTGCAGCTCCTTGTCTCAAACTCAGGCTGTCAGTTTTTCCAGCTGACACGCTCAGCATCTTTAACCATTGAGCCATCACATCAGTGGTGGGTTGTCCCCGGTTCGCACCGGTTCTATAGAACCGGTAGTAAAACCAGCGGGAGGCTCTGCCCACTGACCCCGACGTCATCACAATGCTTCTTTTTTTATTATTATTTTTTTATTTTTAATTTGATTTATATGCCACCCTTCTCTGGAGACTCAGGGCGGCTTACAGTGCGTTAAGCAATAGCCTTCATACTTTTGTATATTTTATACAAAGTCAGCTTATTGCCTCCACAAACTGGGTCCTCAATTTACCTACCTTAGAAAGGACGGAAGGCTGAGTCAACCTTGAGCCTGGCAAGATTCAAACTTACTTTAATTGCAGACAGCTGGTGTTAAATTACAGTGCTTTTAGTCTGCAGAGCTATCCAGGCTTCTGCATTTTGCGCAGAAGAGTGTGCGTGCGCAAGAGCGAAGAAAACACGCGTGCGCGGTCCCTCTGCAAACCGGTAGTAAAGGTAAGTAGAACCCACCCCTGCATCACATATACATGAGCCAAAATGTAGTTATACAGTATTATGTATAAATAATGGCTAACTCGGGATGGCAATGAATGTTGGGAATTCAGAATATAAAGGCTTTCAGAGATTGGTGACTGGTTGCATTGATAAGCATTGGCTGTATAAATCCAGGGATTAAGAACATGAGCTTTGGAGGAAGATACAATAAGAAGGCGGCACAGAGGGTTAAACTGCCTCCCCTCTTTGGAATAGCTAAGCCCTTGAATCAAAATCCCCTCCTCCCCGACCTTATGACCTCTGAAAACAGACATTTGGGCAGCAAAAGAAATTGAATGGCATTGGGTTTTTTTTGTTATAACTCACAGAGTGATGTGTATTTTATTCTTCTTTGTATTGTGCTTGTACGCTGCTTTGGAAAAAAGGCACTCTCAAGATTGATTTCCGTATAGATATACATAGATATAGGTCAGCAACCCATGGCTCTGGAGCCACATTTAGCTCTTTCATCCCTCTGCTGCGGCTCCCTGTTGCTCAAAATATTCGTCACAACTGCCAATGTGCAACACCCACTGATACGCAATTTATTAAGGTTTTCGACCCTCGGTAGGCCAACCACGGATAAATCCAAGAAAAGAAAAGTTTCAGAAGAAAACAGAATCTTTAATTCAACTATATATGCTAGTTTTGTGGCCGCTCAGGAAATAGACAGGCACGGGAAGAGTTTTGTGGCTCCCGGTGTTTTCTTTTCTGTGGGAAACGGGTCCAAATGGCTCTTTGAGTGTTTAAGGTTGCCGACTCCTGATATAGATATACATATTACCCTGTTTCCCCGAAAATAAGACCCAATTGGAAAATAAGTTGTAGCATGATTTTTCAGGATGCTCGTAATATAAGCCCTACCCAAAAATAAGCCCCAGTTAAGATTGTCAGCCCGATGGGTGCATTTAGTACCGTATTTCCCCTAAAAGAAGACCTAACCAGAAAATAAGCCCTAATGTGTCTTTTGGAGCAAAAATTAATATAAGACTCGGTCTTATTTTCGGGAAAACATGGTAGTATGGTCAGAGTCATCTTCAAACATGAAATTCACAGTGTTGATACCACTAACAGATCTCTCTTACCAATATTTTTTTCTAGAATTATATAGAGCGGTTGGATAATCTGGCATGAGATACGTCAGTTTTCAATCTGTCTCTAACCCAGTTCAGGACCAAATTACATTATGCTGTGCCATCCTTATCTGTTACTTAAATAAATGGGGAAAAACAGGGTCTTGTCTCTGGCCTGTCTCTTATACCTCCTTGGACTGAACTCTGACCCACTGAAGCACTTCACTGGAATATTACAGGCTGTTACATGCCATCCATTTGGTTTCAAGAGGCCTTGTCTCATGGTTTTCCAGCTTTCAGATTAACAGAGTTGGAAGGGACCTTGTAGGTCATCTAGTCCAGCCCCCTGCCCAAGCAGGAGACCCTACACCATTTCTGACAGATGGCAGTCCAATCTCTTCTTGAAAGCCTCCAGTGATGAAGCTCCCACAACTTCCGAAGGCAATTTTTGTTCCATTGGTTGATTGTTCTCACTGTCAGAAAATTTCTTCTTAGTTCTACGTTGAATCTCTCCTTGATCGGTTTCCATCCATTATTCCTAGTCCGGCGTTCAGATGCCTTGAAAAACAGCTTGACCCCTTCCTCTCTGTGGCAGCCCCTCAAATATTGGAACGCTGCTATCATGTCTCCCCTGGTCCTTCCCTTCACTAGACTAGCCATGCACTAGACTGCAACTGTTCCTCATATGTTTTAGTCTCCAGTCCCATAATCATCTTGGTTGCTTTTCTTAATGTAAACCTTAATGTAAAGAAGAAAAGAATAGGCCCTTTCTCTTACAGCTTCTTGGACTGTGTCTTTATTGGAATATTACAGGCTGTTACATGCCACCAATTGGTGCAAAGAGGCATTGTCTCGTGAGTCTCCAGATATAAAAAAAGGACCCTAAGAATTAAAGGGTCTTTTTCTACAACATCCATAATTTGATGACTGAATTAATCCACTGTCTGCGTTCATAAGATACCGTACATTGCATCTTTTTGAGAGAATATATTGCAATGTGCTGTGCTGTGCTGTACACATACATTAATGTATCTCTGCCATGTCTCAAGGTGTACATAATCAGGTTATTACCCCTTTTAAAAGATGTGTGCCGTGTAATCCAGAGTTCCCCAACATTTCTGGTTTGGCAGACCAGCTGGGGGGGAGGCGATGGCTCGTGCAAGTGACTGGCAATCATGCATGCACGCAGCTCCATTTGCACAAATGGTTTGCATGCATATCTGAAAAAAGTAAGGTTCTACATTTAGGCAAGAAAAACAAAATGCACAGGTACAGTATATGTGGTACCGTGCTCAATAGTAGCAACTGTGTGAGGGATCTTGGAGTCCTAATAGACAATCATTTAAATATGAGCCAGCAGTGTGCAGCAGCTGCCAAAAAAGCCAACACAGTTCTAGGCTGCCTAAACAGAGGGATAGAATCAAGATCACGTGAAGTGTTAATACCACTTGATAATGCCTTGATAAGGCCACACTTGGAATACTGCATCCAGTTTTGGTTGTCACGATGTAAAAAAGATGTGGAGACTCTAGAAAGACTGCAGAGAAGAGCAACAAAGATGATTAGGGGACTGGAGGCTAAAACATATGAAGAACGGTTGCAGGAATTGGGTATGTCTAGTTTAATGAAAATCAGGACTAGGGGAGACATGATAGCAGTGTTCCAATATCTCAGGGGCTGCCACAAAGAAGAGGGAGTCAAGCTATTCTCCAAAGCACCTGAAGGCAGGACAAGAAGCAATGGGTGGAAACTAATCAAGGAGAGAAGCAACCTAGAACTAAGGAGAAATTGCCTGACAGTTAGAACAATTAATCAGTGGAACAACTGATTATACCAGATTATTACCAGAAGTTATAAATGTTCCAACACTGGAAGTTATTAAGAAGATGTTGGACAACCATTTGTCTGAAGTGGTGTAGGGTTTCCTGCCTAAGCAGGGAGTTGGACTAGAAGACCTCCAAGGTCCCTTCCAACTCTGTTATTCTATTCTATTCTATTCTATTCTATTCTATTCTATTCTATTCTATTCATATTTGCCACTCATGCAAATGGAGAATGTGGGCATGTGCCAGTCCGCTGCTAACGCAAGTGAGGATGCTCACACAGGTGCGTCCACTTGCCAGTCATTTCCACAGCCCAGTTGCAAACCCCTCACAGCCCACTAGTGGGCCATGGTTGGGGATCTCCAGGTTGGGGATCCCCAGATGCAACCCATCTGCTCGGTCTTTCCAAGTTTTGTGTGCTGTGTGAACACAGTTGAAAGGAACTATAAAGAATGGTCAGTTTACAAAGCAATAACATGCATTTTACAATTTGAACCTTTACTATTCTCACTGTGGTTTTAACAATAGCTGTGGAAAAGAAAACTCTTTCTGGGATCCTTCCTCAGATCTTCGGATGTCTAATTTAGTTTGGTCTGAATACTGTTAGAATTTAATCCTATAACTCAGACTCAGCATGGAATCTTTCATCTCCTTGTTCCTTAAGGTATAAATGAGCGGATTAAGGAACGGAGTCCAGGTGGTATAGAAAAGACCTATCATCCCACTGAGAAGATCCTGAGTGTCTCTTCTCAAATAATTGAAAGCTACAGGAACATAGCAGATCATCACCACCATGAGGTGAGAAGAACAAGTGGAGAAAGCCCGTTGCCGTCCTTCCACTGAGGGGATTTTCAAAACGGTAGTGACAATATACATGTACGACATCGCAATGAGGAAGATACAGATGATGGCTACTAAGCCAATATCAACCAAGGTAAAGATCTCCTGGAACCAGGTGTCCGAACATGCCAGTTTCAACAGGGAAAGGATTTCACAGAGGATGAAGTTCACCTCATTCTTGGGTCCATAAGGCAAGCTATAGGAGAGGGAGGTAACCATGATGGAATGCACACAGCCACCAAACCACGTGCCCAAGGAAAGACAGAGGCACATTCGGTGATTCATCAGGATGTTGTAATGAAGAGGCTTACAGATGGCCAGGAAGCGGTCATAGGCCATGACAGTGTAGAGGAAGAACTCCGAACAGGCCACCAAGTGGTAGAACAAATGCTGGGTCAGACAGCCTCCAAAAGAAATAACCCGTCCTCCTTCCACAAACCCACCCAGCACCTTCGGAACCACTATGGTGGATACTGAAATATCCATGACAGCTAAATTGCAGAGAAACCAATACATTGGTTTCTGTAAGTTACATGTAGATACTACAGTCAACAGGATCAGAATATTCCCAATTACCGAGAGTAAATAGACAAGCAGAAATAAGAGGAATAAAGGTATATAAAACTGTTGAGGATATGGAATGCCCAAGAGGACAAATTCAGTCCATTCTGTTTGGTTTTCACACCCCATTCATACAAGAGTCCTCTCTGGAAAATTCAGATTATCATAGGTGAATTCATAGCAAGAACTGGGGAAATCTGAGGTTTTCCTCCTGGCAATATTTCAGAATTCGTAAGTGTAAAGTCTGATCTTAAATATGATTCTTACATTCTTCCAAGTCAACATATCATGTTCTCTTCACTCACAACACATGAGATTCTGGTTTTTGAATTGTTGTTGTTGTTGTTGAAAATAGAAGATGTTGTAGATATTGATTTTAGATTTCAGTGAATCTGTCCAAGATGCAAGTAAGAGCCATGGAAACTCAGGAGCAAAATCTGTAGGTCGAAAGATGGTATTTCTCCATTCTTCAACCAAAACATTTTTTTCAGTTACTCACAGAAATCTTGAGTCTTCATTCAATGTAGTCTTGAACTCTTAAATCGTTTGTCTCCTAAAACAGTGTGCTTTTATTTTTCCAAGCCATTTTTTTTTTTTACAAATTCTTTAGATTTCCCACTTTAAAAAGGAGAAGATTTGCCTTAGAAAGAAGGACAGTTCCTGGAGAAAACTCTTCGAAACAGATGATATTAACTGGTGTGAACACGACAAAATTCATATCATACAACTTCAAATATATTCTAGTTTCTTCATTAGAGGCTTAGATTTCCAATTCTTGTCATTCCGTTTTATACCTTCATCCCTTCCAGGTCCTTCAGAGCATTTTAAGAGCAGTTATTTTGAAAAAATAATAATAATAAACTAGTTTTTTAGGTAGCTACATCCTTCACTGCATAATTTCCATTAGGAAATAACTTGTCGAACGGATTTTAGCTGCAAAGCATTTAATCAGGATATGCTCTTCCTCAATGCTATTTATTTTCTTAATTAATTATCCTTGTCTTGTACAATATAAGCAAGGGAAAGATCTAAGCTTTAAAGAAATGTTTCCTTAAGAGAAGAGAGCGTTTCCTGCTGGACCTAATTCCCTGAAGGTTTTCCTTTTATCAGTTGAGAATATGGTACCTTTTAATGATCACTTATTGCTTCTTAATGCATTTCCCTTTGAGTATTTTTGCATTTAGCACAGGAGAACCTCTAACTAAGATTCTGTGCAGTTTGGAGAACCCCCAAATCCCACTCCTGGCTGGCCCCACCCACCCCACCTCACCCCTCCCAGGAGTCCCCACGCAGCCCATTTTGGATGCAGGTAAGTGCAGGGCAAGCATGGAGCCTTGGGGAGGGTGAAAAATGGGCCTACCAGAAGTTTGGGAAAGCAGGAAACGGGCCCGTTTCCTGCCTCCAGAGGACCTCCGGAGCCTGGGGAAGCTGTTTTCACCCTCCTGGAGGCTCAAGAAAAGCCTCCAGAGTCCGGGGAGGGCAAAAACACCCTCCCCAGGCTCTGGATGCAGGATGCTGACTAGGCCGTGGCCACCATGGCCATGCCCACCCAGCAACTGGGCAGAGAACTCTGTGCTAAAATTTTTGAAGCCCCTGGAATTAATCCATGAAGCATTCATGAAGATCAGAATGTGCTGTGCACATAAAATTCATTAAGGAAAACTGATGGTTTATAGAAATGTGATGGTTTATAGACGTGTGATGGTTTATAGAAGTGTGTGCAGTTGTCTGAGTTCCCCAAAATTAGTCATTTAAAGTGGATTAGAATCCAGGGGCCAGGTTCTGAAGATGAAACTCAAATACTTTGGCCACCTAATGAGAAGGAAGGACTCACTGAAGAAGAGCCTAATTCTGGGAAAGCTTGAGGGCAAAAGAAGAAGGGGATGACAGAGAATGAGGTGGAGTCACTGAAGCAGTCGGCATGAGCTTAAATGGACTCCAGAGGATGGTAGAGGACAGGAAAGCCTGGAGGAACGTTGTCCATGGGGTCACAATGGGTCAGACATGACTTTGCAACTAACAACAACAACAATAGAGTCCAGGGGCAAAAATAGGATGGGTTGGTAATTGAAAATGGGGCTTTGGAAGAGCCCTGGTGGCACCGGGGTTACAATGCAGTATTGCAGACTAACTCTGCCCACAGCCAGGAATTTGATCCTGACCGTTTCAAGATTGACTCAGTCTTTCATCCTTCTGAGATTAGTAAAACGATGACTCTGATCGTTGGGGGCAATATGCCGACTCTGTAAACTGCCTTAGAGAGTGCTGTAAAGCACTATGAAGTGGAATTTAAGTCTAAGTGCTATTGTTGTTGTGTGATTTGTGCCTGATCCACGTTGCAATTCTAAAATGAATTCATTAGCTTGATATATGTGCCTCTTTTCTAGATAAAATGTATCCTCAAAGTAGCTTCCAGTCCCATAGAATAATAATAAATAATAATAATAATTTAATAATAATTTTATTTTATTTTTATTTCTATACCGCCCTTCTCCCGAAGGACTACAGCCTATTAAAAGCACAAGACAAACATTAATTAAAATTATTTAAAATTATTAAATAATTTGGCTCAATTTAAAACCCCAGAAATTTAAAACACCCAATTTAAAATTATTATGTTGATAGCCCGGCCTGGTGGAACAACAGGGTTTTCAGTGCACAGCGAAATACCCGGAGGTCGGAGGTCTTACGGATTTCTGGGGGCAGTTCATTCCACAGGGCTGGGGCTCCCACAGAGAAGGCCCTCCCCCTGGGTGTCGCCAGCCAACATAATTTGGCCGATGGCACCCTGAGGAGACCCTCTCTGTGGGAGCGAACTGGCCGGTGGGAGGCTATTGGTGGCAGAAGTCGATCTCGAAGGTACCCGGGTCCTATGCCATGGAGCGTTTTAAAGGTGGATGCAAATGCATACAAGAATAAATAAATAAAATAACACATTTAAGCAGGATGAATAAATAACCTTTTGAGTTGCGAGGCCTGCCCTGTGGAATAGTTGCTCTCCCTTAAATTTGATTGATGGTCTCAATCCTGAGAGCCTTTAGAAATGCTGTGAAGTCCTCACCGATATTATGACATTAGGACAAGAACATCAGATGAGTTCATCACGGGAGGTGTAAGAAATGTTTCAAGTTTCAAGTTTCAAGTTTATTAGATTTCTATACCGCCCTTCTCCCGAAGGACTCAGGGTGGTGTACAGCCATATTAAAACACATAGATTTATAAAATTTAAAACCAAATTAAAATCAATATATAAAATTGGCCCGCAAATTTAAAACACACATACACCCATAATAAAATTCATATTAGGCCAGGCCGGCTTGCTGGAACAGGAGGTCTTAAGGGCGTGGCGAAAAGTACACAGGTCAGGGCTAATACAGAGCTCTAGGGGCAGCTCATTCCAGAGGGCTGGTGCCCCCACAGAGAAGGGTCTCCCCCTGGGTGTCACCAGTCAGCATTGTTTGGCCAACGGCACCCTGAGGAGCCCCTCTCTGTGGGAGCGTATTGGCCGGTGGGAGGTTGTTGATGGCAGAAGGCGGTCTCGTGTATATACTCCGGTCCTAAGCCATGGAGCACTTTAAAGGTGGTGACCAAAACCTTGAATCGCACCCGGAAGACCAGCAGGAGCCAGTGCAGCTCGCGCAGGAGGGGTGTTATGTGGGTGCATTGATTCGCACCCATAACCACCCGCGCAGCTGCATTCTGGACCAGTTGGAGCCTCCGAGTGCTCTTCAAGGGGAGCCCAATGTAGAGAGCGCTGCAGTAGTCCAGACCGGACAGTACAAGGGCATGAGTGACCATGTGCAGGGAATCCCGGTCCAGAAAGGGATGCAACTGGTGCATCAGGCGAACCCGATAGAAAGCTCCCCTGGCCACGGCCATCATATGATCTTCCAAAGACAGCCGTGCATCCAGGAGAACACCCAAGTTGCGAGCCCTCTCTGTGGGGGCCAGGATCTCGCCCCCAATAGTCAGCGATGGAGCCCGGGACGCCGGTATAGTCAATGTTGATGTGTGGTTTTCTTGTTTTTGTTGATTTTTGACCATTTTTGTCATTAAAATATTGTAATGTTTGACAAACATCACATCAATTAAAAAGCAGGAGCCACGAACACCGGATGCCAGTCAAATGCCATGATCCCTAATTCTTAATCTCTACCCACACTGACACCAAACAACACCAGTTCAATGGGAACAACACAAAAATCATTGGTCATGCTACCATCTGCCACACTTGTGAATTCATTGAAGCCTGGCACTCCACAAGCAGTTCCATCAACAGACAAATTGACCTACCACCAGCCTACAAACCCCTCAGAATCCAAATCAACCACACAGCCAACCAGAGATAGCACCAACCCTCAACCAACCCACGCAACTCCTCCCAACCACCACTTCACCTCCCAATGACCCTCACCTGATGAAATCTCCTTATCACAAGACCCATCACAAGAGTCACTGATGACTCACAGCTGACCCATCACTTGACACACCCACATCTGAAACCAGTAGTGGGATTCAAATAATTTAAGAATCAGTTCTCTGCCCTAATGACCAGCTGGGTGTGGTGTGGCCATGGTGGGCATGGCCAGGGGATGTGACAACAGACCTCCTGCACCCCTTTGGGAGCAAAAATGGGCTAGGGGGGCGCGTCACCCCCCGCACCCATTTTTTGGGCCTAGTAGGCATCCCTACACTTACTTGGGAGCCAAAATGGGGCGCATGGGGACTCCTGGAAGGGGTGGGGAGGGGAGGGGCCAGCCAGCAATTTAGCAACCAGTTTGCCTGAACCAGCTCAAAGCAGCTGAATCCCATCACTGTCTGAAACCCTTATAAACAACACTGACACCAATATTCCCTAAACTCTGCTGAAGATGTTACAAGCTTCCATAATCCAGAAAAAGGAATTTTTAACTCTAGGGGCTGTTCAGTAATATGATACAACTTGCATCCTGCGGATTTTAACAACAGAAGATATGTCTAATAGGAAGGGAGTCCCTTAGATCAAAAATGTCAAACTCAAGGCCCATGGGCCGAATCTGGCCCACAGAGCTGCCCTGGAAACAGCAAAGGACCAGCCTGTGGAGCCTCTACCAGTGAAAATAGAGCTTGAGAGGGCAACATGTGGTCCT